TTTGGCTATATTGTATTAAAAAAAAAAAAAAAAAAAAAAACAATTTATTTTTCTAAACGAGAAAAAAAAAAACAAATATTTTAAATATAATTATTTTAGGGCCACAATTAGTTATTAGTGGTTATGGTTTAGATGTTTTTGGAAATGATATTGTTCGAGGTTATGGAACAACTCATATACCAATTAGTCCGGGACGGTAAATTTTATTTATTTATTATTTTATTTAATTTATTATTTTCTTTAAGGCATCGTATCCGAATTCCACTTTTTGTTCCACGTTCATCATCTCGATTTCAACAACTTTTAGCTTGGTTTTTCGGTCGTCGACCAGAATTTATTGATCCAAAAGTTATTGCATTTAATGCTGGAAGAGAAAGTAAAATAAATTAAAATTTTTGTTTTTTTTTTTTTTTTTTATAAATACAAACATCCAAAAGGATTTGTTGATCGAAATGTAGCTTCTAATGGAAAATTAAAAACTATTTTTGATCCAATTTGAACACTTTTATGTGCTATTTGTGTTGTTCCTTCTTCGAGACCCTTTAAATTAAATTAAATTTTATTTTATTTTTATATATTTATATTTAATAATAAATCCATAACATACTGAACATATTTTCCAATCTTTTCCAATAACATATGAAAAACGAAGATAAAGATCATCGAAATCATTTACCTTTTAAATTTAAAAACAATTAAAATTAATTTTAAAATATAAATCTTAATACAAACTTCAGCATTTTCAATAGCTCCATTTACAAAGACAAGAAAACTCGTTGATTTTGTATTCATTTTTTTTTTTTTTCTTTAAAAGATGAACAAATAAATTTATCAATGAATTACTCATTATGCTTGATCATTGTCATGAAACAACCTCCATCAAATAGAATCAGAAATTTTCATCAATTTTATCGATTATTTGCGACATCTTTTTCTCATCTTTTTTCCAGTATCTAAAGTTCGATTTATATTCTACTAGGGTATTCATTTATACTTCATTGATTGTTATAAATAATCGTTATTATATATTAGCGATATATTTGATTTTGTTTTTTTTAATCAAATAAAAATGAACATAAAAAAAAAAAATTGATTGAAAAAAAATAAAGATTTGTGTTGCAAACGTAAATATTGAGGAACGAAAAAAAAAATAACGAAGAAATAAAACATTACTTAAAAGAGACTATGTTGAAGAAAAATAAAAAAAAAAAAAAAACACATAAAATCACTGAGGAAGAATTTCGTGTCTAGTACATTTTTTCTTTTCGTTCCCAAGCATTAAAACCGATGAAGCAAATGATCACGAGAATAATTTTTCTAAAACTGTAAAACAAAATAAACAATAAAATATGTCTAATGGATCAATGGTCACCGTTGGAAATGGACAAACTTTGTCCGATTTATTTCATAAATTTATTCGAATGACTGTTAAAACAGATGATCGAGATGGACGATTTAAAAAACATCATTCGATTTCAAAAAGTCAACAAAGATCAGTTTATAATTCACCTAATTCCCAACGAAGTCGACGTTTAGTTGTTCAAGGAACCCCTCGAGTAGCACAAAATCAAACTAAACGTATTTCTACTATTGCTTATTATAATGTTTCACCAATTACAACTGAAAATAATAGTTATATTCATACTGATGATGAAGAACAAGATAGTTATTATTCATATCATGTAAGATATTATATAATTATTTTTGTTTAACGTTTAAGAATATAAGATTGATTACGTCATTAAAATCGAGTTGAAAAGAAAAATAAGAATAAGATTTTATCGAAAGAAAAACAAATAACGCCTAAAGATGTTAGATAGATTTTTATTAGACATTAACATAAACGAAAAATAGTTTCTTGTTAAGTCAATGAAGAGAATCAAAGAAAAAAGAGTTTTTCACTTTAGGCTAATGATAAAATATTGTGTCGATAATTTGACCTTGGAAAATTTAGAAAGAAAAAACTTTTACAGTTTTTATTTTTTTACAATTCTTACCTGATTAATTTTTCAAAAAGGTCCTGTTAAAAAATGTTCATCCTATGACTTTTACTTAATAATTATGGACATTTTTCTACGCAACTCTATCAAATGTATAAGAAAAAGAAAAAAACGTAAAAATGAAAGTGAGAATATATTTAATGTCTTGAATATATTTTTTTTAAACGTTTTATGTATGTATGTATATATATATAAATTTATCTAATCCCATTAAAATGGTATCGACAAAGAGCAAAAAAAAAAGTGAGAAGAGAAGAAATAAAAAGTGTCCTTGTTTACATGTGTGATCGACACTGATAGAATCACAAATAACAGAAGACAGAAGACAGAAGACAGCAACGAAACATTTCTATAGAATAGAATAATGTTACTTACAAAAATGCGAGATAGTAAAGGCCCGTCAACAGCTAAGGTCTCATTTTTTTTTTTTTTTTTTTTTTTTGTTTTATTTTGTTAGATTTATTATTCTATTTATTTTAATAATTATTTAGTCTACTAATGCAACAAATACTGGTTATGGATCACATCATCAAAATACAAGTGGAATAGATCTTCGGGATATGGATGCATCATTTGGTGATATTGGATTAAGTATTACATCAAAACCTTTAGCAAAAGTTCAAGTTTGTTTTGTTTTATTTTATTTTATTTAATATATTTTAATAAAATGAAATAAAATATTGTTTTTTTTTGTTTTTTGTTTTCTTTATTAAGAAATTGTCTGTTCAAACAGTTCTTAATGGATCATTTCCACGAGTGAGTGATAAACAACAATCAACATCACTTGTAACAGGTATTACACGAAGTGGAAAATCATTTAATATATTAAATCAAACACCAAATCATGATTCTTCATTACCATTTTTAAATAATTCAGTTGGATCACCAGGAGCATCAGCACGACTACATCATACAACTGTTCATCATCATTCTCATCATCATCATCATGGAGCTGCAGCAGCAACAGCACGAAGTTTAAGAAGAGAAAGAACTAGAGAAGGAAGTCTTAAATCATCATCAAAAGATACAGACATAACAAGTAGTCATCATTTATTTCAACAACAACAACAACAACAACATCATCATTCTCATAATACAAGTGGTTCTTCTATTGTTTCGAATTCTCATCAATTTTCTCGTTCAAAAAGTTTTTTTACTAATACATCATCTGATAGTATTAATAAACCTCCAAGTTTTCCAATGAAACCATCTGGTAAGTTTAGTTTATTTTATTTTATTTTTATTAGAATAAAAAAAGAAAAAAGAAAAAAGAAAAAAGATTAATAGATTATTTTATTTTGTTATTTTTTATTCCAGAAGCTTTAACATATTATGGCGATAAATTAACTGAATTTGAAAAAACTGAAATATTTGATTATAATGAAATTTATTTTCTTGGTTTGGAAGCAGAAAAAATATCTGCAACAAGTGTTAAAGATTATGATGATGAAAATGGTTCTTATATGAAAATGAGTAAAGATCATATTTGTTATCGATTTGAAATATTAGAAACATTGGGTAAAGGTTCATTTGGTCTTGTACTTCGATGTTATGATCATAAAAAAAAAGAAGCTGTGGCTTTAAAAATAATTCGAAATAAAAAACGTTTTCAACAACAAGGTCTTGTTGAAGTTAATATATTAACACATTTAAAAACATTAGATTCGGATAATTCATTAAATGTTGTTCATATAAAAGAACATTTTTATTTTCGATCTCATCTTTGTATTACATTTGAATTACTTGGGTAAAATTTGTTTATTTTTTTATTTATTTAATAGAATTATTTTATATTTAGGATTAATTTATATGAATTAATTAAAAAAAATAATTATCAAGGTTTTAGTGTACATTTAGTCAGACGCTTTGCTAATTCGCTTTTACAATGTCTTCGTGTTATGTATAGAGAAAAAATAATTCATTGTGATCTTAAACCAGTAAAGATTTTTTATTAAATTTATTTATATTGAAACAAAACAAATATTTTTTGCTTTTTTAGGAAAATATTTTATTAAGACAAAAAGGAAGTAGTAGTATTAAAGTTATTGATTTTGGATCTGGTTGTTTTGAATCACAACGAAGTTTGTTTTTGTTTTTATTTTTATTTTTTATTTTTAAAGGATGTGGGAGGGAATGACCATTTTTTGTCCCAAACATTTTTTTAACTTTCAATACTCTGAAATGTATCAAGGAGTTATTGGAAGTATTTTATGCTACTTAGTCTTTCATATTTTCTTAGTTAAGGCTCCCTTTGATGACCCACCCCTGAGGCCCACTCCTGAGGTCTCCCTCAGGGATCGACAAAAAAAAAATTCTTTTTCAAAAATCTTCAGAAGCATATCATTTATATGCAATTTTGCATGCTGATCACGAATATTGTATTTATATTTCGATTAAGTTGAGTTTTGTACCTGAAAAAGGCATTTTATTGCTAAATGAACTATAGTACCATCGCCATATATATTTCATATATTAGCCTATTAATATATGAAGATATTGTTTTCCTCCTTCGAAAAAATCTTTAAATCTGCAAAAATAGTTGCTTTATCCATTTCAAATCAATTCTATTTTAAAAACAGTCCATAAGGCATAAGCAATCGAAATGTTCGATATAGTTAGAAAAAATACCTCATAGATAAGTATGACTCATCGTCTTAAACAGCATTTTGGTACCGAAAAATGGTTTGGTGCCAAGAAGCCACATATACAGTTTGATGCGATTTTTCATGCTCTATTCGAATATGGTTTTTAAATTAAAAAAAAAGATGTATGATTTGGTCAAAATCACGAAATACTATCACCAAACACCGAAAAATTGCAATTTTCACTCATATTTTGCTGATTTTCTCGAAATAGTTCAGCATCCAGTAGAAACAAATATCATATTTGAAATCAGCATAAAAACTGAGTCGATCCATTTATATTTTAAAATATTTCGAGCACTTTTGTTTTTCTCAAGAAAAACCAGCCCGGTTCCCCCTCAGGGATCCGTCAAAAAATGAATTCATTAGAACATCACTCTGATTTTGTAAAACAAGCTCAGAACTATTAAAATGCTAGAAAATGTCAACAGAATAGATGACTGAACGATAGAAACCACTCTTTCACTGAATTCATTTTTTGATGGATCCCTGAGGGGACCCCAGGAGTGAGCCTCAGGGGGAGGGGGAATCATCAAAGGGGGCCTTAACTAAGAAAAGATGCAAGACTAAGTAACATAAAATACTTCCAATAACTCCTTGATACATTTCAGAGTATTGAAAGTTAGAAAAGGTTTGGGACAAAAGATGGTCATTCCCGCTCACATCCTTTAGTAAAATTTTTATGACGTTTTACTTTTTTTTTAGTTTATACTTATATTCAATCGCGATTTTATCGAGCACCAGAAATTATCTTAGGTATACCTTATACACCAGCGATTGATATGTGGAGTTTTGGTTGCATTCTCGTCGAACTTTTTACTGGTATGTTAATAAGTGTTATAGAAATAAATTTTGATCAATTAGATTGTGATAAATTATCTTGTAAATATATACTAAATATTATTGAATGATCTAAGGCGAAAAAGAATTTTATCATGAGCATTGAAATATCGAATTTAATTTTTTTTATGAAGATATTCCTGATATTCAACTGAATAATATAAGACTAATTAGTTTCGACCAGAGCCGACCATACTTGAAAAAGATCGGCTGCATTTTTTAGAATTATTCTATCCCACTTCCAACTTCCTATTGTTTTCCTGTCAGAAGCGACTTATTTTTCATAGGTTCCAATGAAAAATTGATGAAGTCAAATGTCAGACTCATTGACCTGAGTTAGAATCGTCTTTCTTTTCATTTTAATCTTTTGCATTGAATATATACCAATGAGATAATTCTTCATTGGAATAGACACTGGAAATGGTTGACTTGAATCATTTTTAATTCTTATAGTTTCGATAGATTTTCTTCGATGTAATATCTTAAGTGCATTAACTATGTTTCTTCATTAGAGTCTGTTTGATCAACTTCTGAAAGTTTTGGACCCGATGGAATCTAGTTTTCATTCATTCTTAATCTGTTTCCGTGTAAGATATCATGTTGAGTTTTGTTGTTTATAAGATACAAAAATCTTGTAATATAAACAAAAAAATATTGAAGAAGAAAGAAGAAAAAAAAAATCGACATTGGGAATATGAAACAAAAACAAAACCGATATTTAGAACATTGATATGTACAATTAAAATGACGAAATAGTAAAAAGAATTGTTTGAGAGTTTCGTTGTTCAAAATTTCTCTTTTCTCAAATTTCAACATGATTCAAAATTGTTCAAGGAAAAAAGATTATCTATTGTAGAAATCATATAATACTTCTATTAGCTTCAATTTTCATTTATTATACACGTATTGAGTAGATCAGATTAAGATAGTTTCGAATGTGAAAACAGAAACATTCCTTATATTTATGGAAAGTCACACTATTTCCTTCCGAAAATTCGATAATTTCTTGACTTGAATTGAAAATCATGAAGAAGATTTGGTTCGGGACCAATTTTATTGAATAAATTTTAATAAAAAACTTTATTTTTGTTTTTTATTAATAATCAATATCGATATCGATTGAGATCACACAATAGTTATATCGTTCTGCTGACTATGATCACTACGGAATCTATAAATTATTAATAGAAAGAAGATTTTTTTTTTCTAATGATTAATGATGTAAATATAGACTAGTAATTGTTATAACTCGTACTGATTAATAAATGAGTTTTGAAAAATGAGAAAACAAAAGTGATGAATATTTAACAAAATAATTTAAAATTGATTTTATTGATATTTTTATGTAAAATAATATTGTATTACTAAAGGTTATCCAATATTTCCTGGTGAAAATGAACAAGAACAATTGGCAATGATAATGGAAGTTATTGATTTACCACCAAATCATGTTCTTGAACAAGGAACTCGAAAAAAATTATTTTTTGGTTTGTTTTTATTATTATTTTTATTTTTTCTAAAATATTTCAAAATAAATAAAATTTAGATTCAAAAGGAGTTCCTCGAACAGTTTCAACAAAATCATTAAAAAAACGTCGTCCAGCTAGTCGTCCATTAGGACAAATTCTTCGAACGACTGATAATAATTTTATTGATTTTATTCGTCGATGTTTTGAGTTTGTTTTAAATAAAAAAAAAAAAGAAAATTATTTTAGAAAAACACAAATTTCTATTTAGATGGGATCCTGTTGAACGTTTAACACCTGAAGAAGGTTTACGTCATCCATGGATTGTTGAAACAAAATTAAAACGATCATCACATGAATCACGAACACGATATAAAGCAAAAAAAGATGATAATAATAATACTACAAATCATAATACATCAATTATTAATGGAGATTCATGTAAGATTTAGATTTTCATTTTTAAAAATCTTATTTAAATATTTATTTATAAATATAGATTTTAGTTTAAATGAAACAACTGGTCATGAAGATACTGTTGCAATTGAAGAAGATAAACAAATAAGAAATGGTGGTTCATCAACAATGTTTCCAAGAATTTCTAATCAATAATTAATCGGTGACTTAATTCAACTCAAAAAAAAAAAGAATAGCGTTCTTTCATTTTTCTTTTCTTTTCTTTTCTTTTCTTTTCTTTTCTTTGTACAGAACACCGATTTATATCTTTTGTTATTCCATTCTTTTTTTTTTCTTAATAATTTATCAAGATTTTTCAATTTAATCATTGAACATTGTTTTAGGCTAATTAACAACAACAACAACAACAACAACAACATGATTTAATATATAATAATAATTTTATTGAAAATAATTCTCTAATCTACATATCTAATCAATTTTCATTCAATTGAAATTCATTCGAGAGAATCAACATTTTATCATATATAGAAAATAATAATATAATCAGAATATTTTTTTTTTTTTTATNCGTCGTCACACTTATCGAAATTAAAATAAATGGATCGGAGGATAGCCCAAGGCATAATCTTTCATAAATGACATCAGTTTTTATTCAGCATCTCATTTTTTTTTATGAAAATTGTTGATGATTTCTGTCATCGTCTATTTGAAAAACTATGCTCGTCTCAGAAAAAAAGAAAACCAGTAAATTTTATTCTTGTTTTTTTAAATTTACATATTAAGATTCTCAAAATGAGAGTTTGATTTATATTCCATAGATTGTTTATTGTTTAAAAAAGCATGTCAAGATGTAGAACATTAAAGAATTCCTTTGTTTAAAATAAGTTTTGTTGGTATTATATAAAAGAATGCTTTTATAATTAGAGCGGCATTTTTTGAGACTTTTTCGTGACGTTAAAATATTCTCCCTTTAAAAAGTAAGAATTTAAAAACAAAGGATTCTTTCATGTTATGCATAATGACACGCTCTTTCAGACAAAAACAAGTTAAGTATTAAGAATAAAAGCCTACAAACAATTTTCAATTGTTAAATGAGCTTTTTTTCGAGTCTTGTTTGTTGAATATCTCTAAAAAAAGAAGTCATCATATGAACTTTAAAATTTCACCATAGTCTTTATGTTATACTAGCAAAATATAATAAAAAATTCATGCAATTTACATTTATCTAGGTCAATAGATTAATTTCAGGTTAAATCTTAAGAAAAAACTTATTTAATTTCTGAGTTGCAAAGAAATAGTTATTTCTCTTTTTGTTTTAAGTATTTTTAAATAAATCAAATAATTATTTTTATTTCTAAATTAATTTAACTAAATCATCCTCGAATCTTCTTTGAATATAAATATCTATTGGTGATTAATATAAATGATAAAATATTCGATTGATATTCTATTCGAAAAACTTATAAAAATACTTTTATACTATTGTTTTTTATCATATTATTATATATTTAATCATTTATTTTATAATATTTTAATTTATTTTCTATGAAAACTTTGAATTTCATATTTATGATGGTAAGCAGCAGAGTTCGAAATAGACTCTTTTAGACTGTTTAAAAACGTCGAACTACCTGATCTGTCTAATTTGTCTTTAATATAAAATTTTAATCTTTTAAATTGAATTATTTATAGAAAATAGATTGTGATTTGTTTATTTTAAATGATGACTATTTAATATTTAAGTGTAAATATTGAAAACAAAATTTAACAAAATTCACTGTCAATTTGAATGTATCATCAGTAGAAACGAATACTTATTATAACGGATAAAATCGTTACTATGGAAAGATTTATTTTATTTTCTATGCAAAACTGCTTGAGAATCATATAGAAAATGATCGTTCGTACAATAAGGTTTATCATTTGAAATAGTCAATAATTCGTATGCATATCATATCCGATCATTTATAACAATCAAGTTTGTTTATATATCGTTATACTAGTCGATTACACACAAGTTTTAATATATTTTCATATGGATTTTTTTGTATTAGAAATTTTTTCTGATAATACCGAAGAAAACCAGTGACTACTGAAAATTGTCCTAAGATAATTGTTTCTGAGACATCATATTTCCGGTGTGTTTCAATAATATTTTATTTATTTTGATGAGAAAAACTAATATTTGAATAAAACTAAACATAAAGTTCTGAATCAATATTTAAATATTGACTAGATTTATATGAATATTAAAACGTTTTCGTATCAACAAAATGGATCACATGTGACAATAGTTTTATTAACGAAAAATATTTCTATTATTGCGCATTTATACTAGAAGAGACAATAATTTATATGATAAATATTTCAACACCACTTTGTCGAAGATAATATGATTTATTTTTAAACAAACTAATAGTTTTTATTATCATAATCCATGAAATTTTAATCGAAAATGTTCAATGTTATGCTTCGATAATAATCTTTCGTTGTTATCAATTACGAATCATCTCTTTCAATATTTTTCATTATTTTTTACTATTCGTTTTTTAACCTTATCTAATTCAGCTGATACTGAATCATAATTTTCTGTTGCAAGTTTTGTAATTGTTGCATGCGGTTTCTCTCTCGTATGTATTAATAAGAGGAACATTTTATCTATTGAATTCTTTTCAAATATTCTACAACAAAAAAAATTATTTTTTTTTTTTTTTTTCGTCAAAATAAATGATTTTCTATTCCATTATTTTCCAATATATCTACATATTTCAATGTATATTAAATACCGGATAAAAATTTACACTTTAAATATCTCAACAATAATAAAATGTCATTATAATGAACAGCCTAAGGTGATGCTGATTGTTTCTGTTCAAATTGAATAACTTCTCGATGAAAGTATTCTTATCATGAAATATAAATACTTTTTGTTAAAATAAACTTCATCAAGTTAAATTATTTTCCTGCTCTTAATATTACGTGATACGATGAAAATTCAAGAAAATAATACTTCTATATACACTAAACACTTTAACTAGTTTTTTTATGTTAACATTAAACAACTATGACTTTGATCATTTTAAATCATTTCATCAACTTGTTCAATTTCCTACGAAGATTAACAGTTAAATATATTTTATTATTATTATGATTTTTAGACAAAAGAAAAGTAGACAGGCAGACCAGACTGAAGAAATTTGTAGGCCTGCTTGGGCCTCTGGTAAGCAGTCCTACACATCGTTTATCTTTCGTGTGATGACGTATAATATATATACGTCATTTTTTTTCTTTTTTTGAGATTAAGTTTTATCTTTAAAATAAAGGAAATATAATAATGTGTGAGTTTGAGTTATATTTTCAAGCAATTTGTTTATTAGTTAAAATCCATTGATAGACAATAATAAGCTTTTGTTAGTTTGTCATATATGACATAAATAATGTGTATGAAAATTAAAAATTTATAATGAAAATTAATCTTAAAATAATAAAAATTTATTTAATTATGTAAAGAAGATTATTTTCAGTTATTAAAAAATAAACATAATGTCAAAAAAGATGACATTTTTCGACATAAAAATAAAAAAGAAATTCTATTAAATATTGATTTATATGTCAATCAGACTTAAACCAACATAATGCGTAATCCATTTTTTCTTACTTTTTCTTTAATTAAGTTTTTCAGATGAACAAATTCTTTCATTTATTCATTTTCTCTTACATAAATGAAAAAAAAAAGAAAAAAAAAAAAATCAAATTAATAAAACAATTTTATTTATGATAAATATTTTTCTTCTTTAAAGAATTAATAATGAAATGTGAAATGCAATCAATGGATTATCAGTTGTGTGAATATATTTTATGGAAGAATATTATTATTATATTTTTTTATGCAACAAAAAACGATCCAAGATGATTTCGTGCATAACCACGGTTAGTTAACATTGTATGAATATTCTCTAGAAACAAAAAACAAAAAAAAGATAAATAGAAAAAACAATATTTAATATTAACGAAAAAATAATTTACGTATAGCTTGTTTCGGTTCTGATAAATGTTCTCTTCGACTACTTTCAACAATACGCAATGGATGATTTAATTCAGATTGAACTGGAGCTTTATAAATAACACGATTTTTTAAAATACGTCTAAGAACAAAAAAAGTAAAATAAAATAATAGTTTTTTTTTTGTTTTTGAATAAATACTCATGATCATCGGAAACAGTTTCTAATTGAACACATGTACGTGCTTTTTCTGCAAATGTTTCACCATTTTGATCATATTGACTTTTAAGAAGAAAATCAAGTGAATCGTTAGGTGCCTTAATATCATGTATATAAATTTCATGACGACCAGAAGAAAGCGTCGTCGTGGAATATAAACGATTCCATGGTTCATCATGTTGTGTTTCATGGGTTTCTTGACGACAAAATGGAATTTTCTTTTGAGATAAATTATCCGAAAATGTTTCATCATTTTCAAGACGTGGATATGAAAGAGGATCTCGATGATTAACAGCTCGATGAATCGTATGTGTCATATTTGTTCTAGATTTTTATTTCTATCAGATAGATTTTCTTGTGCTTCTTCATATGCCATTTACAACAAAAACGAAAATGATGTTGCCTGACAACCAACAATACTTCAATCAGATAAATAGTAAATGAAATCGTTCTATTTTGTTTTTATTTTCATTATTATTAGATAAACCTATTTATTGATTAAAAGTCTAATGTTTTGTTTTTCCATTTAATAAGAACTATTATATTATAGTTATGATAGAAAATATTTTCTAAAAGAAAAATAATAAATCCTATGTCACGCAACAATAAATATCGACTTATTAAAGTTCGGCTTAAAAAATCTTTTCATCAATATTCTTATTCAAAGAGAAAATAAAATAAATTGAACAAGATTTTTTTCTTAATGATTTTCGACGAAAAACAAGTAAAGAAAGTGTTCCACCAACAATACCCAAACAAGCTATTAAGGGACCAAAACCACGATAAACAATTACATCTGCATACCAACGATATACATCGTTATCAGATGACATGTTCAATAAATATTATTAATTANTTCTTTTTTCTTTTTTTTCTTTTTTTCTTTTTTTCTTTTTTCTTCTTTCTTGTTTCAACGTATAATGATATGATAGTATATCTGAATAGATCATTCATGCATATGAAATTTCTAGAAGAATACAAGAAAAGAAAAAAAAGCACGTTCTAACATTTATATCATAAGTCTGTCGATATATAAAGCACAAAAAAAAATGTCTAACTTAGATTTAATTCATTGATTAATCATACGCGATCATCGGACATGTCTGACAAGTAACGTCAGTAATCATTTAATTAATATCGATAGAATTGATCGATACTTGAATTACACGAGACCACTTTTCGGGTTTGGGTTTTTTTTTCTTCTTTTTTCTCTGATTGTCTTTTGCTTGTTCTCTTTTTCTTTTTATCCCGAATTACAAACTGTATGGTCACCCGAACCATGTTTTCCTGCTGCTATTTTGTCAATGAGAATAATTTCTGATAAGAAAGATGTAGGATGTGACATCTTATTTATCGCATTGCATTCATGGATTTCTTACTTACGATATTAGAATAAGAGAAAAAAAATCTGTACTTATTATTTGTCGACTATGTTAGATGTTATACATTTGCTTGGCTGTGTCCAATAATTTTTCTATGGAATGTCGAATAAGATTTAACCTTATTTGTTTGTTATTGAATTGAAAGTTGACAAAGAGTTAATAAGTTTTAGCATTTATTTTGACTATTTTGTTTTTTTAAATAAATAGGAATAAAAAAGAAAATTCATTGGTTAATAACAGGTATGTATGTATAAACAATTTCATAAGAAAAGAAAAATTAAATATTTAATTGTTTTCAACATTGAATATTTATTTATTTATTTATTTTTTTTGGTAAATAGAAAACTAAAAGGTAAAATATTGTAGATTAATAATTAATAATATTTATTGAACATGTCATCTGATAACGATGTATATCGTTGGTATGCAGATGTAATTGTTTATCGTGGTTTTGGTCCCTTAATAGCTTGTTTGGGTATTGTTGGTGGAACACTTTCTTTACTTGTTTTTCGTCGAAAATCATTAAGAAAAAAATCTTGTTCAATTTATTTTTTTTATTTGGCCGTAGCTGATCTTTTATGTATGATATGTTGGCTTGTACATTTTGTTTTACCAACATATAATATTCATATTCTTACTCTATCAAATTTTTTTTGCAAAATATTTGTATTTGCCATGTATTTTGCTTTTGATTTAGCAAATTATATTCTTACTGTATGGTAAGTTTTTTCTCTTATTTAGATTTTAATGTTATTCTATTTTGAGTTCAACAACATAACAATAATATTTCTATATAAATGAGAAATATTTTTCAAAATCTCTTATATATATAATCGAATGGACAATTGGTCCATATGATTATCGTTATATAGATATCGAGCTTCTTGTCATTCATCGAGATGTCGATTAATATATAATGAGAGAAAACCGTTAACTATCATAAGATAGAAAATAAAACGAGAAAATATGCATGGTAACGATCATAGTGAGAGAACATCAATTTATAAGGGTCTAATATATCTAAAACTGTTGACAGAATGATTAATTTGTTAGTGCATTTATAAAAATAGAGAAGATCTATAGAAGATAAATATCTATTCAAAACAAAGTATTATTGTTGTATATGATAAATATTTTCGTAGATATGATTAATATAATAATAAACAATATTTATTATAAATATGAATTTTAACTAATAAATCTATTTATGATTGAGTGAGAAAAAAGATAAAAATAAATTTTTTATTTTTCAATTTGACGTATGTAAATCTGTAATATCAATGACAAAATGAAAAATAGTATATAAAATATATTTTAAATAATAATTGATTAAGAAAAAAAATACAATTCGAGATATTTTCATTAAAAATCTATATTCTCATCCGTAAATAATTTTTTTGTGTTTTTTGAAAATATCAATTTACATAAAATTTTATTGTTAATCTTTTAAAAATCTATTTATTGATAAAATAATTTAGTTCAATCGATCGTGCTGTAAGCGTATTATTTCCAATTGAAGGTCGTAAATTTTGTCGTGGCCGAACAGCTTATATAATAACATTATTATTAGTTATTATTCATACATTATTAAATAGTCATTTGTTATATGGTTTCGTTATATTATCAGCAAAAACAGTATCAGATCCCCCAATTCGAATATGTCATCATCGTATGGATTCTGAAAGATATAAAAATTTTTTTTCTATTTATGATTCATATGTTGATGCTATAAAAACAAATGCTATTCCATTTATAATAATGTGTATATGTAATATAATAATAATAATACGTGTATGTCGATCAAAATCTTTAATGAATTTTAATGGAAAAAATCGTGGTCGAAAAGCTAAAAGAAAATTTGAAAAAGATCGTCAATTAACATTAATGTTACTTGGTTCAGCTATTGCTTTTCTTGTTTTAACATTACCCACAGAAATAAATGATATTATTCGATCACATTCACATGATAAACTTGTTACAGAAAAAACATATCTTTTATCAGCTATATTTCTTTCACTTGCACATCTTAATTATGCCGTAAGTTTAATTTTAATTGAATATTTTTGTTTGTTGTTGTTTTTCAATAATTAATTTAAAATAATTTTAGGTCCATTTTTATATATATACATTGACGGGTGATGTATTTCGACAACAGTTACTTAAACTATGGCCTATTAATATTGTTTGGCCTTATATAATTGCACTCATCAGATGTAAACGACCTACTTCAACATCATCATGTGCATCAAGTATTAATCAAAGAACTTATGTTAGAAATAATCAAAATACTCAAATTGATATTTCACTTGCTACAACAAGACTTAATGATGATAACGATAGTTATTTAACATAATTTTAAATAAAATACATTGATTTTACATTCAATATAAAGTGTTTTATTTTTTAGATCTATTGATTTATTAAAATACTTTCCTTTTATGAATTAAAAAGGAAGTAACATTCATTCTAAAACAGAATATTTTTATCTTATAAACTATGAAAAAATTACTCGAGCATATTACACAGTGATATTGAATAAAGAAAGCGAATATTTATTTCCGTCAAGCTAATAGGATTTGCAGTTGAATATTTTCCTCGATTTGTTTCATAGACTATTGTATTTGGGTCAGGTTATGAAATATTATACTTGAAATTTTTGATTCAGTATATATATATATATATATATATATTATATGTTAATTTACATTTTTTATTTTGAGAGATGAATATTAGATTTCATTTAATTCGAGTAGATTTAAATTTAATATGAGAATATTTAACTGAAGATCATATAATGGAGAAAAAAAAAGGATTTTATAATAGTTTCAAATATTTCGAATTACTTTTATTAACAAGAAAGAAAAGAATTTTCAAATGCTTTAGCTTCTAGTTTTTTCTGAAATATTCATTTCGTTTATTTTTAGTATTAGAAAATTGTATAATAAATGTATTTGTTATCAAACAAACGAAAAAATTTAGTATTTTTTTTTAAACATCTATATATATATTGAAAATCTATCGCATCAAATATCATATAGATATTAATCGTTTTTACTTTTATTTATTTATTTTCATCGTTTGTAGATCGCATATTTACAAGAATTATTGCAGCTGCACTAATAAATATAAACAATAAATTAAGCTTAGGGTTGATTAAGTTGTTTTTGACACATTTGCTCTACATACTGTATGCATATATATAAACATATACATATATATATATATATATATATATAGAATCTCCGATGTTTTTTATTTTTCATATGGTTGGATAACATCATGAATAACTCTATAGAATAATATAGTTCTCATTTCATTAATCGTGTATTTTAATGAAAAATTTGATAAATATCGAGCTGAAATTTTTTCATGCTAATATTTCATTAAGATGAAATTTGATTAATTGCGAAGTTAATTTACATAGAAGAGATTCAGCAANTTGAATTTTTTTATTAAAAAGCTTTTATTCGTGAATCATTTTTATTATTTGTTACTGTCGATAAAAAATTTTTAAATTTCGAATTATCTTCGTTAAAACTTCATTAATTCTTGATATTAGCGTTATTAAGGCCCCATCATGCCCTGCATCTTGAGATGCTCTTTCCAACAAAAAAAAATATTAATATATTGAACGAACCAGGACCGAAAATTTTGGGATGCCAAATGAGTCATTGTTGACGCTTGTTTGGTTCATATCTCTCTAAAACCTGAAGATTTCGGGCCGAAAATTTTATGGTAGTCTCCCCTCTCCAGCCCCAACATATCCTGAAAGTTTCATGCAATTCGGATGTTCCTGGACTGAGATAGATTTTTGAGGGGGTGGGGCCTTAATAACGCTAATATCAAGAATTAATGAAGTTTTAACGAAGATAATTCGAAATTTAAAAATTTTTTATCGACAGTAACAAATAATAAAAATGATTCACGAATAAAAGCTTTTTAATAAAAAAATTCAAAGAAAATATTTCCATATGTGTAAAAAAATTGTTTAATATCTTAAATTTTTATTTTAAATAGATTATAATGGAACAAATTCGATTATAAATTTGAAAGATCAAACAACAATAAGAACAGGTTTACATTTTTTTGAATAATTTTCTTATTTGAATTCGAACTATAGATTAATCATAACAACAATTAATATTTTGTTTAACATCAATTATCACAATAAAATTAATAAATAAAATATTCATAGATAAAAACAAAAAAAAGCTATATAAAATTCAACAACTAATTATCATTCATCATCAATCCTATCACCCTCATCATCTTACATCAGTTTTTTCATAATATACAAAGAAATATTTTTGTTAGGAAACTACTTAATATAGTTTTTTTTTCTTTGTTATTATCTTTAATGTATGAATGTTTTTCTCAGCCATAATTTTCAACATCTATATATATCATCAACAGTTCTGACTAGTCATACTCGTATATTTTTTAGTAATAATAAACTGAAAAATAATTTGTCAAATTTTATGGAATCAACAAATCATCTTGGTCGTTCAAATATTACTGTTTCATTTGTACAGGTAATTTGATTGAATCTTATTTTATATATAATGAACCAATTCATTACAGTGATCAATCGTTTTCGAATGAAAGATTTCAATCGCTTATCATATATTTTTGTTAACATTGTCAATGGTTTTTTTTATGAAAACTTGAGAAAAAAACGATACTATTTAAGGATTATTAAGAATTCTCTGAGACTTATTCACTAAGTTTATTTTTATGAGAATTTAGTTTGTTAATTAAATGTTCTTATTATTGAGAAAAGTAATAATCGTTTTTGTGATTGACCATTTCTTTACTTATGAAAATTTTAAAATTGATGAAAATTGAATTTTTAGACAAATAGATGTATTATTAGTTCTTTTAAAAGTCTATATTTTAAAATAAATATTTTAAATATGAAACAAATACTGACTGATAGTAGACAATAATAGATTTTTATAAGAAAGCCACTGATCAAATAAATCTCATAAAGACTTTTTAATATTGAACCAAAAAAATTAGTAAACTTCTCTATGAAAGTTTTCCTTCGACTATAACTTCTAACTATATGCGACAATTAAACATTTTTATTTTAAATATTTTCATTACTTCAACATACTCGATGTGATTATAACATAGATCGATCTCAATTAAATTTAAAACAAGATAATAAAAACGTTCGATTTACTTGCAATTTATATTGATTACCAATAGAATTTATTCAAAAATATAAATTTTATGCATATAGATAAAATGTTATAGTAACAACATCTGATTTGAAAAAAGTATGAATAATATTATAAAAAAATAATAATAATAATGTTATTGTTTGTTTTTTAGTTTGATATAGTTAAATCAATATGTTTACCTATAGCAATGATTATTATAAGAGTTTCAATTAAATATTCATTATGGATTTGCTGTTTGTGCAATATCAACTAACAATAATATTGGTGTTTTTTTTAATAAAAAGGATTTTTTACATGAAATACACCTATTCAACCATTTAATATCATCATCTAAATTGTGTATAATATTATGTTAGTGAGATATTCTTATTTCGTATTAGTTTGCTTTTTTTCTTATACTTTATATGCACAAATATTTGTTATATGAGAAAAGAATAATATAGTATTCTTGTTTTTTTGACAAATGTCAAATATCTTTCATTAAAGAATTTATTGAATTAGTAAAAAAAAACAACTTTCATTTTTTTTTTTCATTTTTACTAAATCTTGAATATGTTTAAAGAAGGAATAAATAAATTATATTAAACTTTCTATTATTTTATTAGATCAAAACTATCCCCATATTATTCTAATAATTTCTATCGAGTTTTGTCAAATATTATTGGACTCTTTGTTACAGGATTTTAATAGGCGGATATAATCCGATTACTATATTATTCTGACATTTTTTGATAATAGAATTCGACTGTCGAAATCCTATGCCAAGGAAATCATTGGGTTGAGCCTAGATCATATCTGATCTAACGGATTTTTTGATAAGAACTGACACAATCCGATGTCATATCTCTCATCTTAGGTTTGTTCAAGAATCTCTTCAATTCGTCAAGATTTACGAGTATTCCTCTAGCAAGTTGTTCGTAATGCCAATCACCAGGATTTAATTTATATCAAGTTTGTGCTATTCGATGGTCACATGGCGGTTTCGTACTAATGCGGCTGAAAAATTGCTGTACTAGTCCAAATCCTGCATGGAGCTTTGTTGTTGAATCTGAGTAATCTTATATTAAATAGTATGGACAAAGGTCTTTGTTACACGGACAGGTTGTGGTAGCACTACGATAATCATTTCTCTAGTAGTGTAAGATGACTCATTGATCTGCTGACGGACAGTTAGCACTTGAATGATACACCATTTTCATGAAACTCAATAACACTTTTGAGAATCTACCAGTCTCATTGGGTGCATAGAGCTACTGACTAACTTTTGTCAATAGTTCTAAAGTGGTCACCTAAGAAACTGAGACAACAGGTTTCGACGAAACTTGTGTGTCAAAGGGTAAATTCTTTTTTGGAACTTTACTGTATTTTGCTATGTTAAATGATGTTTAATAAGAAAAGAAATTTTTAAGAGAGAGTCTGCCATAAAATCGGATAATATGGCTGAAAAAAAAATTTTGATTTTTGATTTTTGATTTAAGTATCTTAAAAGAAAAGCCTATTAGAATGAATACCAAATCAAAAATTTTAACTCGATCTGATAATCCCTTGCTGAATTATGAAGTACACACTGATAGCAGAGTCCAGAGAACTATAAGAAAAATAATCATTTTTTGCGCTTTTTCATGTTTTGAAAAATATTCTCATGATTTCAAACATTAACATACCAATGACTTGAGACAAAAGAAAGAGCATCTTTTTTTCTGATAATTCATATATTTTTCAACTGTCCATAAGTATTATGTGGGAAAAAAGAACCGATCAAGCGTTTTTTACTGAAAAAATTCTTATTTTTTCGGCCCTTCTTTTTCTATTTTGATTCTTAAAACCTGAAATTGAGGGTTCACCACAAGTTTGAATATATCAAAAGAAAGCTCTTGAAAAACTGCGTCGTCTGGTGCAAAAATGTCTGAGAAAAACCACCAGACGGTTGAACAACTTTTTTGAATAATAGTACATCCTTGTCCTTTTTATTGTGATTTTTATTTGTTTTTATCATTTTTTCATACCGATTCTTTTTCAGACACAATTTAACCTAAAATTTGACTGAATGATAATATATAAACTTTTGCCTATAAAATATATTATCATGTAATGCTCTTGATTGCGAACAACAAGTGAATTTAATCAAAGATAAAGAATGTCGTTTATTTGATTGTGAATTTAAGAGATAAATTTCAAGAGTCTATTAATGGTGTGTCAAATATATTTAAAACAAAAAGAAAAAAGAAAAGAAAAGAAAAATAATATACATATTATTCATTACGAAACTAATCTAAACAAAAAGGTGAACCGCAAGTTGAATCAGAATTATAGTCAAACCATCAATGATAATCTTTAAACTTGATTAGACAGAATCTAGACGTAATGTTTGAAATTAATCTATTTAAAAAATTTCAAGTATTATAAGTCAAAAAATATTTTATTTAATAATAAAAAATCCTCAAAACGAATTCTAGTGATAAAACTGATATTTTGATTTATTTTTTACTTGACTTCCTTCTTTATGAACATTTCGTTAGATTGATCGATTTGCGTTCTTCTCAATGATGTTCACAATGGAGAAGTTTTACGGTTTATGAATAAACTAATTATTAAATAATGATTGTTTTGAATAACTAAAATATCAATATCCCATTGTCTGAAATATTAACACTAATAAATCGTTTATTCAAACAAAACGATTGCAGAATAGAAGAAAGCAGTAAAATAAATATCATATAAATTTTTATCATAATGCGAGTTTGTAAATTCTCCAAAATACAAATTCTTTAAAAAATATGTTGGGAGAAAATTTGAACAGACATCCGAAATCAAAAATAAGCTTGACTGAGAACTATTAAAAATAATGGTGTAAAGGAAAAAAGCATAGTTTATGGTAATATCAATTATTTTCTTGGTCTTGACATGATTTTTTACATGAAGAGAATGTTTGAACTTTTAAAATTGATTATTCTTTTCATTTGTTTTTGTTTTTTTTCATATTGATTTATATGCATCAATTATTGGAATCATGACGTTATCAATAAATTTAATACAAAATGCAATTAAAAATAACCTTTTCTTTATTAACTTAAATGTCATTAAACAAAAAAAGAAGAAATATTATCAAAAATTGTCTAATTAAAATGTATTCTTTCTCTTGCTTGTTTTTTTGTTTTCAAATTTGACCAATATTAACTCTCATTAAATTGATATGTTGTAATAAAGTCTATTACGGAATATCATTCACGATTTAGGAGAATTAGAAGCAGGTTTAGAAAGGTTAACTTTGTCTAAATGATTATTCTTTGAGAAAATATTATCTTTGCTTTGAAAAAAAAAGGAAGAATATATTTTAATATTAATCGAGTTTTTTCGATTATTATATTTTTAAAGTTCTACTCTTAAAAATATAATTATCGAAACAAGAACAACTCATTTTTGACATGTCGGTATTCAGAGAAGAGATTTATACTAATATAATCCTATAAGAATTTCAATTCTTAAATCTTAAATATTCTCTACAGACTTACAAGAAGTTTGTGAAATTTTTACCATTGAACGAGATATTTTAAAAAATTTAAAAGAAAAGATTTTTGACCAGAAATATTATTTATGAAAATATTTGATAATTTTAAGAATATTCTAAAACTATCCAATCACGACGATTTCTTTCTTCTTCAAATATTCGATAATAAAAACAACTAACACTTATTACACTGAATAGAATTCGAATTATTCTACTGTAAAAGTTTTATCTATATGTTCAAAATATAAACTTAAAATTGATAAATAACTTCGAATGATTCTTTCATTAGTTTAATCCAATTTACGTTCTAGATAAATATGATTATAATAATAAAATGCATTATTGTTTGTATAAAAACCAGAGACAAATTTTGAAGAAGAAGATTTTATTGGTCTAAAACAAAAAATAGAACATATCTACAATCAATGATTCATTTATTGAAGTAGCGAAAGAAATATTTCGTTTATTTTGTTTTGTTTTGTTTTGTTTTGTTTTGTTTTGTTTTTTAATAAAGATCGAATATAAATAAAAAATCGAAGACAAAATTCGTTATTTTTTTGTTTTTATCCATTCTCGAAACAAATAAATATTTCATTGTATATCATTAAAAAGCACCACTGAAGAAAAAAACAAGAAAATGATCTGGTATATTTATATGACTAGATTATTCTTGGCGTTGAAGGTTATAATATGAAGATTGATTTTGTGGATAAGGTACAGTAAATCTTCGAACAACTGGAGGAGTAAATTCTTTTTTTGTTGAATTCAATCGTGGAAAATCATTCTTTAATTGTTCAGTAACACCTGTTATTACTTTTTCAACAAATTTTTGTGAATCAATTAAATTATTTGAAAATTTTTGTCGATTATATGATGATGATAATGATGAAGATGAACGAGAACTTTC